ACCGTCAACTCTGCTGTTGAGGTGGTACACATGTACCAGCATTATCAGCGCGCCGCTGATAAAGCCGAGACCAAGCTGAAGAAGGCTGATGACGCTTGTAAGCTCGTCATCAAGGAGCGCGATAAGGTTAAGTCCGACATCAAGACCTTGCAAAAGCAAGTGTCTGATCTGAACAAGAAGCTGACGGACCAGGAGCAGTTGCAAAAGAAGGTAGCCAGCCTCGAGCAGAGTCTAAAGGACGAGAGGGAGGCTAAGGCGAAGCTGGCCGGCAGAGTTGAGGAAATGGAGCGTGATAAGCCGGGAATCAGGCGCCGAGCCGTTAATCGGTTCCTGCAGACCGACCTTTATGCCAACTTGCTAGTTGACCGGTATACTGCCGGTTGGGTCTCTGCGCATCGCTGCGTGTGCAAAGCTGAGGGGTGGGACTCGACGAAATGGCAGGCCGTCGAGAAGGCTTTTAATGAAGAAATGAACCACTCCTACCAGCTATGAGAGTGAATATTTTGACGAGCTCCCACCACATGCGGTGATAACAAACTTAGACCCACGCGAACTGCCAGAAGTGGAGTTTGATGACGCCCTTATCAGTAGCCCTATTACCACTCATGCTGATAAAGATGGGTCTGCCGGTCCCTCCAACAATGAAGTTGTGAAAGAGCCTGTTAACGCGGCTGAAACAACAACAGAGGCCGACAAGAATTAACAAGGAGGGCAGTCATCATTAGGTTTTTATATTTGCTTGTATCTGTTTTCTGTGCTTCAAACAATTATATTTGTCTGTATTATCTGTGTACGTCTGTACTTAAAACAATTATCTCTGAGTAGTTAGTTTATTTGTTTCTTTACCATAATTCTTACTAGCATGCGTATTTTGTTTATACTATGATCGTTACTTACCTTTTAACTAACACTTGATGATTCTATACCTTGAATCGTTTTTTTAATTATTCTCTCGGTTTTTAACACAAATTTACGTTATCAGCATTTTAAAGTTACGCCTTTCGGTATTTTATTTGTGAATAAAATTTAGGAAAACCAAATAATGCCTGCATTCAACTCTGTTATCGGTATTTTCAAGTTACACCTTACCAATAATACTCCCCGAGTTTTTCGGCAAAATTTATTCGTAAATAAATTTTTGGGAAAACTCTGTAATGCCTGTACTAAATATTGGATGTGAAACATACCGAGATTACATATCCAACCTTTGTCAGGCCGAGCAAAGGCAGTGGATCAGACCGCACTTTCAACTCCCCTTGAGGTCCATTATTCCATTTCAATCTTTTTCACTCACTTGAACGACCGAGTCAGCTAGCTAGGCTGTGATCAGATCGTGTCGAAAGTAGGTAGAGTTATTGTATTTCATAGGTATTAAAACAATTTACAATGCTAGAAAATACCATAAACATACGTATGACAACATGTCATCAAAATTTATACTACACAGAATAGAAATACATTTAAACTTCACATGAAATACCTCTTTAACACACTAGCGTTCCAAACATTCTTCAGGGGTACTCCTTCTAGGGTCATTAGCCGATAAGACCCTTGTCGAAGTGTTTCATATATTTGGTAAGGCCCTTCCCAGGTTGCAGTAAATTTACCCTCTGCGTTCCCTTTGTCGGTTGCAGCCGTTCTACGCAGAGTTAAATCACCATCTTCCATGGGCCGATAATTGACGCGCCGATTATAAGCGTGGCTCATTCGGTTTTTGTATGCCGCAGATATTATGGTGGCCGTCAGCCTCACTTCCGGTAGAAAATCCAATTGTTGTCGAAGCAACAAATCATTTTGACTTTCGCAGAAGTGCTGTACCCGGAAAGTAGGTAGTCCCACTTCCGCCGGAACCACTGCTTCTGAGCCGAAAGCAAGGTTGAAAGGTGATTCCCCCGTAGTTTCTCTTGTTTTCGTACGGTTCGCCCACAAAATCTCAGGTATCAGATCCGCTCACAAGCCTTTGGCGTCTTCTACTTTCTTCTTAACTGCCCCTAGTATCTGCTTGTTAGCGGCCTCAGCCTGGCCGTTTGACTGCGGGTGACATACCGCCGCATACGCAAACTTCACTTTGTATATGCTTATAAAGTTCTTTACCGGGCTACAGTCAAATTGTGATCCGTGATCAAACACCATTGCTGTCGGCAATCCGAATCGTGTAAAGATGCTCTTCCAGATGAACTTTTTTACCTCATTCGCTGTAATCTTTGCTACCGGTTCAGCTTCTATCCACTTGGTGAAGTAGTCTATCCCTACAATCAAAAACTTACGGCCACCTGTTGCCGACGTGAACGGCCCGATAATGTCCATTCCCCACTGAGCGAACGGAATTGGGTTAAGAATGGGTGTTAAATCATTTGGAGGTTGATTAATCACCGGCCCATACTTCTGGCATTTATCACATTTTTTGACGTACTCCATGGTATCTGCATTCATTGTCGGCCAATAGTAGCCCCGTTTCATTGCCTCCAAGGACATTGACCGACCCCCCGCATGATTACCGTAATCACCCTCGTGCATTTCTTCTATCAGCCTTGCCGATTCATACGCTGTTATACACCTTCGCAATGGTAGAGAAAACTCCTGTTTATACAATGTGCCCCGAAACATAATAAACCAGACGTTGTCTTTCTTGATCTTTCTTGCCTCCATCTTATCGGTGGGCAGGACGTTGTGTACTTTGTAAGCTAAGATTTCATCATACCATTCTCGACCTTCACTTATACAATGTACATCCTTAGGGGGCTGTTCATCAATACTCTTTTCTTTCAAAATTTCTACCATTACCGTCCTCTCTAAATCATTAAAGCTTGAACTTGCAAGTTTAGCCAGCGCGTCTGCCTGCGTGTTCATTGCTCGAGGAACCAATTTAATTTCCAAATATTCCAGATTGGATGTTATACTCTTGAGTTTTGCCAGATATGCCGTCATGGTCGGCTCTCGAGTTTCATAAGTGCCATTGAACTGATTTGCCACTAGTTACGAGTCAGTTGTCATCTCAATACGCTTTGCTTCCGCAGATATGCATAGTTGTATCCCTGCCAACGCTGCTTCATACTCTGCCTCATTATTCGAGGCTTTGAACTTGAACTTGACAGCATATTCGAACACATCTCCCTGGGGAGAGATCATAATTACTCCAGCCCCTGAGCCGGTTGAAGCAGACGAGCCGTCAATTGATACCTTCCATGTGCCGGCACCCTCCTCCTCTTCATAATAAGACGATTCTACAATGAAGTCAGACAAGGCTTGGGCTTTGATGGATACCCTTGGTTTATACGTAATAACATATTCAGACAATTCAATCGCCCATTTAAGCAGGCGGCCAGACGTTTCCATCTTCTGCAAAGACTTCTCTAACGGCTGATTCGTTAAGATATCAATTGCATGTGCATCAAAGTAAGGACGCAACTTTCGCGCGGCCACAACTACTGCGTACGCAATCTTCTCTACTAACGGGTACCGTCCCTCGGCAGCATTTAAAACGTGGTTCACAAAGTAAATTGGCAGTTGGGTTTTTTGTCGTTCTACTAGGAGCACCGCTGCTACCGTCTTTGCTGACGTGGAGATATAAAGCTGTAATATTTCTCCTTGTTCCGGCCTTGCGACAGTGGGTAAGTACCTCAAGTGATTTTTCACAGCCTGGAACGCCTTGGATTGCTCCTTCCCCCATACGAACAGCTTGTTCTGGCGCAAGATCACGAAGAACGGTAAGGCTTCGTCGGCTGACTTGCTGATGAATCTCGTCAACGCAGCCATTTGACCAGTGAGCCTTTGCACATCTTTTATGCACTTTGGTTCCGGTAAACTAAGAATTGCCTCGATCTTATCGGGGTTAGCGTCTATCCCTCTTTCGCTCACCATGAACCCGAGAAACTTTCCTGACCGAACGTCGAACACACACTTCTCTGGATTCAACTTCATCCGGTAACGCCGAAGAGTTTCAAAAGTTTCTCTCAAATCGGCAACGTGATCTGTAGCCAAACGACTCTTCACAATTGAATCATCCACATACACCTCTACATTCCTTCCTTTCTGGTTCGCGAATACCTTGTCGACCAGCTTCTGATACGTAGCCCCTGCATTTCTTAATCAAAACGGCATAGCCCGGTAAGAGAAAACACCGGAATCGGTAATGAACGCCGCCTTGGTTCGATCTGGCTCATATAAGCTGAACTGATGATACCCGGAAAAAGCGTCCATGAAACTCAACAGTGCGTGACCGGAAGTGGAATCTACCAATCTATCTATCCTCGGCAAGGGATAGCAATCTTTCGGGCAGGCTCTGTTCAAGTCCGTAAAATCCACGCACATTCTCCATTTCCCTGACGGCTTCTTAACCATAACCACATTTGCTAACCATTCTGGATACGTGCAGGGTTCGATAAAACCCGCCGCTAGCAATTTATTTACCTCCGATTGAATAGCCTCGATTTTCTCTGTTGAGAAGTTCCTTTTCTTCTGTCGAACGGGTCTTGCTCTCCTGTCAACATTCAGCTTATGTACTATAACGTCGGGATGTATCCCAGGCATCTCGTCTGCCGAGAAAGCAAACACATCAGCACTTTCTCGTAACAATTCCACCAAATGGCAGCGCGTGTCGACATCCATATCGGATCCGACACGCACTACCCTCCCGGGAACCCCGGGCTGCAATTCGATCTCTACGGTCTCGCCTTCTGGGGAAGGACGTGGCGCAGTTACCGGCCGAGTATCGAAATTTTTCATGGCCAAATCGTGTGTGGAGGGAACTCGTTCTTGCTTGGATGGTGTCTGTTCACAAGTTGGCTGTCGGCTAGACTGTTTTAGTGCTGAAACATAACACTCTCTTGCCATAGTTTGACTATCTCGTACGCGCTCTGTCGTTCCCGCGTTGGACATATATACCATTGTTAAGTGGTACGTCGAGACCACAGCTTGCATGTCATGAATTAAAGGTCTACCGACAATGACGTTGTAAGCGGATGGCACATCAATCACCAAAAACTCCGCCATAACATCTCTTACTGCCGGCCCCTCTCCCATCGAACCTGAAGAACTATACTACCCTCAGGTCTTACCGTTGATCCGTTGAAACCTATCACGGGATAAGAAACTGGCGTTAAGTATTTTCGGCCAATTCTCATGGCGTCAAAAGCTCTAGCAAATAGGATATTGGCGGAACTCCCGCCATCAACGAGTGCCCGCTTGATATCTGCTCCATTTACCGTCAATATCAGCACCAACGGATCATCATGAGGGAAGACTATTCCCTTAGCATCTTCCTCCGAAAAAGATATAGAAAACATGGGAGAAGGTCGAGGTCGTTCCTCTACGCTCAATGCGTTCACTATATGCCGGTATTCCGACAAACTTTTCTTCGCCCCACTTACAGAACCCCCGTATACTGGTCCTCCCGAAATAACATCGATTGTTATTTTGCGTCCTGTCGGATTACCTCCCTGTCTGGATGTTTCCGTATGATTCTGCCTGTAGGCGTCATTTTGCATTGATGGATCACCCTGCTTTCGGTACTCGGTTTGCCTGGGCTGTGCATTTTGCTGCCAGCTGGGACCTTGTTGAGTACGATATTGAGACAATCGCCCTTTCCTTATGAGATCTTCAATGTTCTCTTTTAATTGAACACATTCTTCGGTGTAATGACCAACATCTCTATGAAACATGCAATATTTTTTCACGTCCCGGCCCTTCATTATCATCGGCGCCGACCGGCTCCAATCTTCTCTATTCTGGTTTACTGAATAAATTGCCGCTCTCGGGGTATTTAACTGCGTATAGCTGCTATAACGGCCCAATCCCTTTGCCGGCCTTCCAGATCTCTGTTGGCCTTGTGGTTGTAACCTGCTTACCCCACCCATCTGGGCGTTTGGGCTATTATCATTTTGCCTCCTGGAGGGTTCTGCTGACGATATCTGACGGCTCGTTTTCAGCAGTTCCTCACTTTTTATGTATTCATGAGCCTTGGCAAATGCTACCCCTAAGTTTGGGAAAGACTTCCGCGACATATATTTTTTGAAATCGTTGTCACCCAGCCCATTCATCAATGCCATCACGGCAATTTCTTGCTGCAATTTCGGTATGGTATTAGCCTCGTTATTGAAGCGCCTAATGAAGTCTCTGAGCGATTCCTCTTTTCGTTGCTGAATAGCCATGAGCTCGCTAGATGTCCTTTGTCTTGCACTATTACTTATGTACTGACCCGTGAACAACTCCACCAGGGTCTCAAAGCAGTCAATTGACCCCGGCTCTAAATTGGAGAACCTATCCGAAGCTGCCCCGGTAAGACTCGTAGGGAAAACTTTACACCACACAGCATCGGTGTCGGTATATAGCAACATGTGACTCTCAAAAGAAGCTACATACCGCTTAGGGTCCCCCTTACCGTCATAAGTACAGGACGACATCTTTATTTTCTCCATTTGTTGGTCAAGTACCTCTTGTGTAAACGGAGATATCCTGGGCCTGATGATCGCCCTGGCTGTCCGCCTTTCCAATCCACTGGAAACCTCATGCCGATAAGAACCTGAATCCCCACTTGGGCGCCTCGTGTGATTCGGTGCTCAGCCGGTATGGTCTCTCGGCCCCGGCTCCTTGACGGTAGTTGTTGTCCCGCCTGATTGAACTGACTCTCCAAGTTCACTATTAGCGGCTTTGTCGGTACATCAGCCAGTATCTCCCCTGCCGCTAACTCGACTTCCTTTCTTTTCTTAGACATAGCCCGCATGACCTTAGACGTTATCTCTAGCTCCTCTGGGGTAAACCCTTCCAAGGGATCTGGGGTCACTGCTCTATTACGATCAGGCGTTAGGGGCATGTTCGTTGTGTTGCCGTGAAGGAGATGAGTTTCATCCTCGACCACGATTTCTGGTAGGCTGTTTACAGTTTTATTCGCGTTAGCATTAAAGATATTGTTATCATATTTCCGGTTATTAACCTCCGGTACCGGTACTGTAGTTTCCTTACTTCCTTCCATAATTGTGAGAGGTTCTGTTGGACGATAGAAGTTATTACTATCCCCTCCTTCTAGCGCCAATTGTTCCTGCTGAATTCTGCTTCCGTTGATGTCCGAGGGCTGGTAATGGTTTACCGTCCAATTGCTCACCTACACAGCCAATACAGATTAGCTAGCCCGGGGGTTATCCGGGAATAACCACTCCGATGCTAAAGTCAGTACCTTTGTGAGAAGAAAGTGAAAGAAGAGAGAGAAAGTGTTTTAGAGAGAGAGAGAGATTCTACCTTTGAAATGAGGATTTGCTTGGGTATTTATAGAAACACAACCAAGCAGGTGCCACCTATACAGATAGGTGGCACACCGACCTTGTAAATAGCAGGTGCCTACGCGGCACCAAGCAACTCTCCACGTGCCAGAGGGATATGCCACGTTCCGAGAAGCAGCTCTCCACGTGGCAGAGAGTGGTGCCGGTAAGGACATGATTTATTTAATGATTAACGAGGTGTTTAAACTGCACGACACTCTTTTACCGGCATATTATAGATTCTACCGGTATATCCCGTACAGTTATTACAACATCATTTAATAGCAAGGTTGCTGGCTTACTATTACTACAGTAGATGGTCGATGATGACGAATATTGTACATTAATGATGTTGGAAAGGCTTTAAGTTTCATAATGTCATTAAATTGTTGGAATTGAATATATGAAGTATGTATCTTCATTTTCTATAAATGCTTATTCATTCGCAGCATCTTCTTGTCTAGTACGTACTACGTACTATAATATTATGTAGTTTAATTTATCAACTGTTTGGGTCCAATTTAGTCAAAGTTGGGCCTGAGCACTAAATGATCCAATTAAAAGCCCAAGGTCAAGGTTCAACTCTCCAATTGCTCAAAAGTCAAAAGTCAGCCCACAAAGTAAGCCAATTGGGCTAAAGCCCAACCTCTCCAAGTATGATGAGGTATAAAAGCCATCATATTAACACATTCAAAAGGACATCACATATGATCAGTCATATTCCAATTCGTATGCTCATTCTTGCATTCAGAAATATTCCACAAAAGCCTCAAGCTACAAACTCTCTTGCATAGTGTCTTCCTTTTACACATTATACTGACTTTAGCATCGGAGGGGCCTTCCTCGGAAACACCCCCGAGGCTAGTTTACGTGTGTTCACTGTGCAGGAAACCTTCGGCCCAACACAACTTGGATCGAATCCAGTCTTCTCCATTTCAACGGACCTTCGGCAAGGTCCCATTGTTTTCAACCGAAACAATTTGGCGCCGTCTGTGGGGAAGACTTTCAAAAATCTTTAAGCCAAATTCCTAACCAAGATCATCTTGCAATTATCTTAGCAGCCATGGCTAAGAACCGCAAGAGCAAAAGCCTCCGTCAAGGAGCGGGCGAAAAGCCTAAAACCCCTACACCATCGCCCTCGCCGGACCGGAACTCTCCCAAGGGTGCCGGCTCGGGGGGAGGATCACACAAGGAGGATTCCCTATCTCCTATAATGCATGACTCTCAATATAGGCCGGACCACTCTCGGTCTAGCAGGGGTCAGTCTGATCATAGGACATATTCAGTGTCCCGAAGCCAACCATCGGCTGCACGGCCTCATGCCCACACTCGGCCGGGGACCCCTTTGACGGGGCCCAGTTCGGAAGAGGTGGCAAGAGCGCTGGCAGTACTCATGGAGGCAATGAGGGCACAGAATATGCCACCGCCTCGTGATCGAACTCCTCCGCATACCCGGCATCAGCGGAGGAAGTTAGACCATGACGGTGGGAAGCTTCCTTCCTTCCGGGAACTGGAAGAGTGGGAGGAGGATTCTTGGAAAAATGAAAAACAGAGGAAGAAGAACTCTCAATTATTTAAAGGATCCTCATCCTCAAGACCAGCAGCGCATAAGAGCAGCAGCTCAGCTTCTCGGCCAGAATCTACTCGCCGGGAACCCGAGACTGCTCGCAGAAGCGTCCTTGACCGACTCGGCGGCCAGGAACCGAGCGTGCGTAGTCGCCTCTCGTTCCCTGCAGCCGAGGCCCAGACTTCCCAGCCAGGGACGAAAACCACTCCTACCTCTCTAAGAGGGCGGAGCGCGGTCCCTTCGGCCAGGAACAAGGGCAAGGCCATTATGCTTCCCGCTAGTTCACCATTCGAGCAATGGATACTGGAAGAGCGCGTACCCACGGTTAAAATACCGTCGCATATCACATATGACGGGACCACGGATCCGAAGGACCACGTGGCCTCGTATGAGACTCATATGCATCTTTGCCCCAGATCCGAGGCGACTTGGTGCAAATATTTCCCAACCACTCTCAAGGGGGTCGCGCAAGCGTGGATCTCCAAGGGAGTAAGGCAAGGCTCCATAACAGGTTGGGATGATCTGTCCTCCAAGTTCAGGAGCAAGTTTTCCACGGCAAACCGCCGAGAGAAGACTACCGCAGAGCTCATGGGTCTGCAACAGGGGGAAACTGAAAGCCTCCGAGACTACCTGACCCGTTTCAGTAACGAGTCATCAAGCGTCTCCCAGCTGGACCAGGGGCTAGCTGTTTTTGCAATGCAGAATGGCCTTCAGCCAGGAAAATTCCTAGACTTTATGGTCATGCATACCCCGCAGACCTTGGAGAAAGCTCTTAGTGCTTCGGATAAGTTCATCCGAGCCGAAGAATGGAATAAAGCAAAAACCCAACCTCAATCCGGGGGAGGGAAACAGAGGCAAATACCCTTGTCTGAAGGCCAAGGCCATAAGGCAAAGGGAAAATCAAAGGCCTCGGAGCCATCTTCGGCCAGCGACCTAAAGAAGGACAGGTTTGCCTCATACACAGGCAGATATGAGTCCTACACTCCGCTCTCTCTTCCACGCGCCAAAATTTACAGTGTGACGAAGGAGGAGCAGAGTTACCGAAAGCCGAGACCACTCCCAGAGTGGTATCAGCGAAAAAATAAAAATCAGTGGTGTGAGTTCCACGATTCTTCGGGCCACAACACTGAGGAGTGTATCCAGCTGAAGGACCAGATAGAAGACATGGTCCGGAAGGGATACTTGAAAAAATACATCGCGGATCACCGCGAGAAAAAAGAATCCGAAAGGTTAGCAAAGGACCCTCGGCAGGACCTTGATTTCCCTCGGAAAAACAGTAAAAAACCGGAGGGGAAATTCCCTCCGATCAATGTTATCTCGGGAGGAATATACTCTCGGAGGGAGCACAAGCGTCACCTTAGAGCTTTGACTCACCAGGTGAACAACGCTGACATTCAATCTCCCCAGTCGCCGGTGCCGAACATGACGTTCACAGCCGCCGACTGCCGGGGGATTACGTTTCCTCACGAGGATCCGTTGGTGATCATCGCCACGGTGGCCAACCACGACGTCAGTAAGGTCCTTGTTGACGGTGGCAGCGGAGCAAACATTCTGTTCCGAAAGGCCTACAACCAAATTAAGCTGAAGCCCAAGCACCTTACGCCGGTACCCTATCCGGTATCCGGGTTCAATGGGGCTTCAACTTATCCAGATGGGAAGGTGACACTTCCTGTCACCATCGGTTGCGATGAGGCAGCCCGGAACGTCATGATTGAGTTTTTGGTCATCGACGCTCCTTCAGTGTACAACGTGATTTTGGGGAGACCCATAATTCACGAGATCCAAGGGGTCGTCTCAACTTATCATCAGCTGATGATTTATGTCTCAGACGCCGGCTTCCCCGAAAGGATACAGGGCAACCAGAAGGACGCCCGAAGGTGCAACTACCTCAAGCCATCCAGTAGTCGCCCAGATAACGACAAGGATGAGGAGGAGAAAGAAAAAGAAAGAGAGCCAAGCACAAAAAAGCCGAAAGGCCTAAGTGCTTCGGCCCAAGGATCAGTGCCCAGAGAAAAAGGTCCCGAAAGGGAAAAGGTTGACTCTTCATCTGAGCCGAAAGACTCAGAGAGCCAGCCGAAGAACACAAAGACTGGGACACCTGCTGACATTGGCAGCAGACCAGATTCTGAAGAGTCCAGTCCATCGGCAATGGACATGGACCAACAGACTGAAACAGCAGAGTTGGCCGAAGGAGATGCTGAGAAATGTGTAACAATCGGGATGGACCTTGATCCTAACACCCGTTGTGAACTTATTCAGCTCCTGCGGGATAACAGAGATGTGTTTGCTTTCTCGGCAGCTGATATGCCCGGGATAAGTTCAGACCTCATCTCCCATAACCGAAGGGTCCATGCAAGGCCTCTCAAAATTGGGGATCTTGTCCTTCGGAATGCTGCTGCAGTTCAGAAAGGCCGAATCCATGGGAAGCTCTCAGCTACATGGGAGGGACCTTATGAAATTTATGATGAGCTTCAGCCAGGGACATACCGACTTCGGCAGTTGGATGGAACTGAGTTGAAGAATCACTGGAATGCTGATGTACTGAAAAAATGCCATGTGTAAACCCTTCGGGGCAGAACAA